AAACCAATGGCTTCAGCAGTTAAATCAATTCACGCAGAACGTTGCCTCTGCAGTTTATGCACCAGCCACTAGGTGATGTAGATGAGCAGTAAAAAAAAAATCACTGTTATGCACAGTGGCCAACATGGAAATCAAAAAGCTAAAACTGCCTCTTCTCCATCCAGCCATCCTTCCATTTTCTCTACACCCTTGTCCCTTAGTGTGGTCGGGAGGAAAACTGTCTCTTAGAAGCAAATAAAAATAAATCAAACAAAAATCATTAGCAAAAGACAGTGCCAATAAAGTGTCCCCATTTGCATTCATGTCCCCTTAAGTAAGAAAAATATCAAGGTTCTGACAACAATACGAATGCAAACGCACCCTCAGATTCGAGAGTTGGTCCCCCAGCAGCTCAAACCTACAGCAGTAAAACTAAAGGTTTGGCACTTCTGCATGGCTACAACATACTCATAGTTTAACTTCTTTTCCCACAAACAAACCTTTTATCAGTGTCATAATTTTTTATCATGTTACTCAATCCATGGCTTATTTGATAATTCCCCTTTAGGACCCATTCGTTTTATCTTTTCATTATTATCAACTTTCTCATGAGCTATATCAATTAATGCATTTTATTTGATGCTAATTTAATTAATTTATTTTAAATACACTTGCATTCTTCATTGAAAAGTAATCACATTTCTTCTCCCCGTCTCTGCAGGTCTACATCACCTGCTCAGTTCTCCTGTGTGAGAGCGGCGTTCCTGGCACTCGGTGTTCTCAGGGATGCACCAACTCATGGAACAGTCGCAGGAAAAGGGAAGCGCCTTCTCAAACTAACAGCCACTCCATTTCCCAGGGACCACTGCAGCTTGCTAAGACCTCTGACACTAAAGGTGGGCATGCAGGTGTTGTAATCCTCAGTGTTACTTCAGGTTATTCAGTGATTTTTTTTCATTCTTATTTAATCAGATGTCAGTAATTTTCTGTACAAAAAATTAATGTGGTAAGAAAGTGTGCACCTTAATTGACCTGCAGAGGGTGCTTATGATTTTGTGTAAAAATAATTCTGTTTTAATGTGATTTATCATACATTCTTCTGTTTTATCAATTTCAGCATCTGGCCCTGGCCTGAGTTTGGGCCTGAACCTGGTCTTCATTGTCGGCTGCCTGCTCACCTGTGGAGCGGTCGTCTACCGATCAAGAAGAGCCAGATCTAAATACCAACCCCTGCCAACCTCCGAGACTGACTAAACCAGATCTGATACTTTTTAACCTAAGCTTCTTTGCAGCTTTGGTGCTCTGATTTATTATTATTTACTCTGGACCATGCAAAACTCCAAGCTTCTTCAATAAATTAATGCAACATAAAAATGTGCTGATACAATTAAAATTTTCTCAAAGTTCTGAGATTTTTGGTACAATTGCTGAGCCATTTCTTAAGGCAATTATTAACTAGTTTCATTCTTAAAAATACATTATCATCTTTCTATATGTTTTAAGTTGTTTGTGAGCTGACACACCAATACATTTGTGTTATGAACTGTCTCACCTATTATTAATGACTGGAAGGAAAGTGGGGATCCATGGTCTGTGAGGAAGAAATGTGGTTGGATCACTTAATGTTTGGTGAAATCAAATCAAATAACAGTACAACTCAGGACTATAATAGTGGAAGTAAACATTTCCACACTGTGTGAAAGGAACTCAAAGACTGTGACTGAACAGTGGAGCTAGCTGGAGAAAAAGGCTATATTTTTGAGATACCATAAAAATTGCACTCTAGAATAATGGAAAGAGGTCATGTGATCTGATTAGTCCAGATTTACCCTCTTCCAGAGTGATGGGCACATGATGCCACATCAGAGTCTACTGTGTCTACTGTAGCAGCCTGGGTGCAGTTTGGAGTTGCTGCAGTTGATCAGGTTCAGGTCCATGAGCCCAAAAAATGAGCTCAAGTGACTCCCTGAATATACTGAATGACCAGGACATTCAATAAATTGACGTTTTTCTTGGCCATATTCCAAGATGACAATGCCAGAATTGGGTTAGGAAGCATGAGACATAATTTTCACACCAGAGTTTAGATCTTCACCCTACTGAGTATCTCTGGCATGTGTTTTAGAGGACTTTGCACAGTTAGTACCTTGTGGCACCTCCTTTTGCAGCCATTACTTCAACTAAACGTCTTCTGTAACCACAAACAAGTGTCTCACATCTGCTGTTTGGGATTTTTGTCCACTCCTCCTTGCAGAACTTTGCCAGTTGAGAGAGGTTGGAGGGACATCTGGCATGTACTGCCCGTTTCAGATCTTGCCACAGCATTTCTATGGGATTGAGGTCTGGACTTTGACTGGGCCAATCCAGAGTGCAAATCTTCTTTCTCTTAAGCCAAATCTTTGGTACTTTTGCTGGAATGCTTTGGGTCATTGTCTTGTTGCATAATCCATTTCCGTCCCAGCTTCAACTCCCTGACTGATGGCAAGAGATTCTGATCAAGAATTTGTTGATAGCCCTGGGAATTGATGGTTCCCTGGATAATATGGAGTCGTCCAGGTCCAGAGGCAGAAAAGCAGGCCCAGACTTTCACATTTCCACCACCGTGCTTCACTGTTGGGAGGAGGTTCTTCTCTTTAAATTCAGTGTTTACTTTTCTCCAAACATGGCGCCTGTGATTGTGGCCAAATAATTCAATTTTGGACTCATCCGTCCAGAGAATGGACTTCCAGAAAGCCTCTGGTTTGTCCAAGTGTTCTCTGGCAAACTTTAAACGTGCAGCTTTGTTCTTTCTTGAGAGCAGAGGCTTCCTTCTCACAACTCTCCCATGAATGGTGATGCATGGGTTGGCCTTTACCTGCATTATTATTTTTCTGGTGCTTCTTTGTGAAAGTTTTGACGGCCGTCCACATCTGGGCAGAGTTGTAGTGATGCCTAGTGCCCTCCATTTGTAAATGATTTGTCTTACAGTGGATGGATGAAGCTGGAATCTTTTGGAGATGGTCTTATAGCTTTCCCCAGTCTGATGGGTTGTCACCACCTTCTTCCCGACGTCCTCAGATGTCTCTCTTCCTCTCGGCATTGTTGACCTGGTCTTTATGCCTTGACACAACAGTGGTTTGTTTGGTTTCCTCTCCCTTTTAACCAGTGCACCTCCAAACTTTTCCCAAGGACGTCTCATTTGATTGGTCTTTAATTGATTACTCAAGCACTAACATGTGCTTCACCTGAGCCTTTTACCTGATTGTCTTCATCAGTGCAGCTGTGGTTCATTTACTTTTGCAGATGCTCTGATTCCGTTTTTCATTTAGTTTACTTTCAACTCCCACATTTTCCTCAAAACAAATGAATGGAATTGATGAACATAAACCTGACATTTCACATACAAAAACTGGTGATGAGAAAATAAGAAAAGCATGGTAAAAATAAAGAAAAATCTAAACTACTCAACTAGTTCACAAACTTTCAAGCAGCACTGTAAATAGTAGTATTTATACTTCAGCCATGTTTTCCATAAAAGTTTCTGAACTGGTAAAAAAAACAGCTAAGATGTAAATACTCTAGTCTAATAAATTGACAAATGGGGAGCAACAGTTTGCTTAAAAACTCTAAAGTTATAAACAAAAACTAACCTGTGTACTAAAAATGTGTTGCATCAAGATTTGGATGAAGATGCTCATTCAAAACAAGAACAAAATACATTTCCAGAAAACAAACTTAAACTTTGTTGTGTGCAGATGCATTTTCAGCTTCATCTTTCCTTCTGCAAAATAATCCCTGACAGCTTGATCAACTGGTTTCACAGGTCAACATCAGCAGAGGAACACATACCTGTGGTGTCTGTCATGAAACACAATAGCACCATACACACCCAGTTTCCAGTAAGAACAACTTCCTCCATATTTGTTTGCTGCCTTTAGAAGTGAGAAAATATTTCCTTGCAGTAACATAGTCTCACTCTAAAAAATACAAAAGCACAATGTTTGATTTTTTTTTATTTCAAACAAGGCAAAATAAAAAGACTGTGAGGAGATCTTTTGGTTGGTATATTGTTGGGGGAAGCCCTGATGCAGAGGTAAAGTAAAAATGCTTCATGATCAAGCAAAACACTTATGGCACAAAGAGAACACATGCAAACAGCATAATGCAAGAATCAAGAACTGAACAAAGGCAGGCCCGACAGCATGAGTGGGCTTTGGGGGGTACTTGGGCATCAGGGGGCAGTTTTATGCCAGTTTTACACCTGTGCCGCGGCGAAGGATGTGTTAAAATCATGGCGGCAAAGGCAAACACCTTTGCACAGTTTTTATCCCCAAACTAACCGAGTGAGTGGAGTAATGCTGTTGCATTAGTAATGTTAGATGATGACTAATGACAATATTTCACGTTACGCTTGTAAACAAGTACAGGCTACTAATTATGGTGTCAATGTTAATTTACTTGAGTACTAATAAGTAGTTTTACTGCACTGTACTTTTTTCTTTAAAAGTGCAGTGCTAAAGCAAAGGAAAAGAAGTCCAGGACAAAAAAATAAACTAATAAAATGAACAAACAGAAAATAATTTTGGATTGAAACACAAAGGAATGAACTGATGAACCATGGCCTAACCACAATAAAGAACATAAAGGAGTAAAGCGCCCTGGAAAAACCCAAATGATAATTATAAAAAACTTAAAGCCAAAACCCAGACAACAATAAATCATGACGATCACCTGTCACAATATTAGAGCTTACAGAGGCTGGGTTTACACAGCATGCTCATGCAACCCATATCTAACTTCTTCACGACAGTCTGAACAACCCAATTTCAATCTTTTCACCACCAAAAATTCAGATCAGATTGTTTTTTAAAAAACAAGCAGCCCTCTGTTCATCTCAGAGAACTGCTCCGAGATGTTTTCTAGAGGCTTTAGGTCTGAGATGATCATGGAAGAAGGTTGCCTTAAATCTGCTGAACCATTTCAACATTTTATTTTCAGTTTGTGAGCCACTGAAGACAGTTTCCTGGTAGAGGTCAGTCACGTTTATCAAAGAAGGTTGAGTGTGAGAGGGAAAACCTGTGGTCTTCCTCAAGAGTAACCATATAAAAAACAAAATGTAATCTACTGGCAACGTCTGTGAACAGAAAAACAAACATGTTTACCAAACTGGTGACTTTTATTAAAAAAGCAAGCCACCCTCCTGCTTCTAAGCAACAGGAGTTGGTCAGTGGCTTCACTACTTTACTTAGTTAATACAGGAGTCCTAATTGTGGTAATTTTTAATGCATTGTATGGCATTACTGAGGTCAATTAAACTTGGCTACTGAGCTAAATTCAAACTTTTCCACTGAGTTTTGAATTATGATTTTGCAAACAATGTTTCCTGTTGGATTATCATCTAGACTGATAAAAACTGACAAAATGCTGGGGACATTCAGCCTACCAGAATTTATTTTGCTTATCTCCAACACAGCTGTTTATTTTCTGGGGCAGAACGTTTTTCCTTGTACTCTGATTGCTAACTGATTCTCACAGTCAAAACCAATGAGGCATAAAAAAGGACCCACAAAAAGACCAAGGAACTTAGAAAATATTCCTGAAATTATTCTGAGCCGTTTTCTTCAACTTGGAGATAATCATTAATGTGTGATGATTTATTTGTCCTGCGTTAATTAATCATCTGTCAGGGAGGGTTTATCTTTGAGATTTTCAGATTAGCTTTGTATTCTCTCTCAGACACGCACAGAGTCTTCACACTTTCAAATGTGTGATTACCATCTCGTCAGGGAAGAGTGACCGACATGTTTTTAGACATGGGAGAACTGCAATGTGATGGATGAGACAGATTAAACGACTGAAGCCACAAGAAGATGAAGCTGTCAGCTGTCCAAGCATTCTGTGTGGAAGCTTTCACTTTGCAGTCTGACTGGAATGACATTCAAGACTTTTTAAACAACAACTTTCTGTCTTTGTCATGCAAGGCTGTCAGACAGGCTTTGGCAGTAAACTCTGGCTTTGGCAGGTGCAACAATGGAAGATTTTTCTTACAACAAGCAGGTAAAACTTGCTGAACTGTAGAGCTCAATGTGGAACATGGTCTTCCCATTAACATCCAGGAAGGAAGATTTTATTTTCAGAAAAAGAAGAAATTCATTTAATGCATATGACCTTTATTTTTCACAGAAACTTGCTAATTTAAACCAAATCTGAAATAAATATTGCTTTAGAAATTTTTACTACAACAATTCAATCTGGAAAGACTCAGACGGACAAAAGGGGAACAATTAAAAGATTTAATGACAGGAATGATAACAGTTCTTTGGCGCTTGGACAACGGCAGCAAATTCGAGCTGAGATTTGATGTGAACCAGGGCCGTGCAGAGACCACTAAAGGGGCAGGTGCTCAACAAAAAAAAGGGCACATCTCACCGCCTTCTAGGACAGAATATTAACGAAGCCTCTCAGCTTTCAGAGTTTAATAAACAATGATAAATTACAAAATTGTGAGATATACAATCAAAGCTAACAAACATCTCTATATAGAGCATAACACTATGGATAAGTAAGAT